CAACCACAACGGCACAAAATCTAAAGTCAGATAAAGGTAAACATCTGGAACCTTCCAAGGAATGCAGTAGTAAAGATGGAACATATAACTGCATTCTCCCCTTCTCTGCTCTGTGGGACAAACTTCAGAGACAGTAATCTGTAACTACAGACCCCCATAAAGCAGCATTCTCTGATAAAATTTAAAGAGAGCTTAGTATTTTAAATAAGAAATGAGACTACTGAAGTGCTGAAAACAATCAGGACAGTTCTTCTGATTCTAGATTTAATTTAATAGTAACCCCACCCTTGGTATACTGATCTGGTGGTTGGGCTTTTTTTTTTTTTTTAATTTGTCAGCTTTAACACCTAAATGGTGGTCATTCATCAAGCATACTGGTCCTTTAAAGAGGTGTTCATGACCACAGGGAGAACATGCACAATAACCAGAAGTCTGGATGGAGATATGTATTTTCACTAAAATCTTATTTTTTAAATTACATTGCCATCATGCCAAATATATCAATAATAATTTTTTACTGAAAACAGTGCAATTTTGTCCTTTTAAGTAGTTAATAATTGGCATTGTTTGAAAATAAAGCATCATTGTTCTGTTACTTGACCAGTATCTTCTAATTTTAGAAAGCTCATCATTTTATAATGTACAATCAATTGCAATATACAGCACATTGCTATTTTTGTTTTAAAACTTATCTTTCAATTACCAAATCCCATTCATTTTCATATGAACCTGGGGACTCAAAATCAGCAAAGAGTTTAATCTAAAGAATTGCCTCAGTGCTTCAGCTAGAAGTGGTTCAATGACCATCTGACAAGGGGAAACATGGAGAGATCTCCAAATGGAGACAGATCAATAAACTGACACAAGCCAGCAATAAAATGGAAATCAGAGAGTATTAGTGGGAGCTACACTGATGTATCTCATCACAGCTAAAGAAGACATCTGTTCAAGCAAAGTAAGAAGAGCAGGCAGGCAGTTCAGCACATCAGACATAGAGGAAAAGAGAATGCTTAAGCTGTGCAATTCTGCTGAAGAACTCCTCACCTAAACTCTGTGGGCAGTATTAGATGACACCCTCTCATTGTTTCAGTCCCAGACCCTAAGGATTATAACATTTGGGTTTCCATCTTACTACAATCAAAATTATATCACCAAAGGCTGTTGTCCTCCAATAATATACCTGTGGTTCAATCAGCTAAACTGAGATTAGACTGATTTCTAGGGAACAGCAAAGCTGAGCATCACTGCTGATCTTATACCCTGAGCACAGTACTATGGAGCAGTGTTCATGTGGGTGCTGTGAAAACACCACCGTGCCAATTACCTTCAATGCAAGTGCATCAGCAATAGGTCATGTCACTTATATCTCAGCTTTTAAAAATTTTAAAAATCATCAGTAACATTTTTTTTACTGCTTAATATTGTTTTATTCTTAACCTCTTAAATATCAAACTTTTAAGAGTGTGATGAGAGTGATCCTCGTCACTTACAGAGGCTTTATCTTTGCTTCACGGCGAGGAGATTATCACAATAAAGAAGATTAGGTATTGCAAATTTTGGTGTTTTCATAAAGAAGCTGAAGTCCCTGCTTTACTGAGTAGAACTCAGAGTAAAAACCACCATTACACATAAAGCACCAAGTATAACAAGATGAACCGCAATGTAACTTTCCAGACTGTTTGCCCAAGCTGTTTAATGCCCTGTGTATTTCTGCTGAGGGAAAGTGAGAGCTTAACTTGAATTATGTCCTTGCTGCTTTCAAAATACTTTAAACAGTTATTCAAAACTGTAGCCAGTGTGTCATGCATTCCAATACAGAATATAAGAATCTATGTATTTAGTGTCACTGTAAGACTTTTACCTCGAGTTTTCCTTTCGGAGCCATGAAGTTAATCATGAGGAAGGAATGCACACTCTGATCATGCTAATTAGCTTACTGAATATGACTTCTAAAGAGATCACTTAATGTGTCCTCAAGGATGCTGAAAACCATTTTATTAAGAGAAATGCTTGGTTTCCTTTACTGACACATTCATTGGACCAAAAGGCTGTCATGAAGTAATCTGTAGCTGTCTTGATATCTATATATGGACAAGAAATACCACTGCAGAAGATACATTCTAGGTTTAATAACCACATTTTATAGCCACTGAAAATTACTCTATAAGGGTAAGGATAAGAGCAGGAGAAAATTCACTCATGCATTCAGAAAATTTAAATATGAACTTTCCAGGGCATACTTTTTTACATATAAAGGGCATGAATCAGTGCTCTGGATCTCTCCACTTAATTCCATGCTTTTATTTTACCTCTTTGTCATTTCTGAAGGACACCAAGGAGCGGTGCCAATTGATACATAGTTTTGCTAATGATTGTAAAAGTGCTTTAAAAAAAGTGTTATGTGCAATAAACTTTTTAACTGCTTCCTTAAGCTAAGAAAAGAGCACCTCGTGGGTTTTACCATGGCTCAGAAATTTTTAGAATGCTCTCATCCTTGCCATGTTTTGATATAATTTCTTCCCATTTTGTCACCAAGGTCCTTATTATGGACTGGGGCCTCGAGATAGCCAAGGTCTTAATTCAGTCAGTCTGCTGGTGGAATGTTGGCCAAATATCCCCACCTGCTGCTCCCATCAGGCTTCATCTGCTCATTCCTCAACAGAACACGAGGAACAGGTTCTACCTCTTGTGGAGAAGTCCTACTGACTGGGCTCTTCCCTCTTTTTCTGTGCTCTAAGGAAGGATGGAAGGCATCACACGTGGAACAAACCCAGCACCACTGCAGAGCAGTTGTCACCAGTACAGTGGTACTTGTAGGACAGGTAGGAATTCTGCTTGTTTATTTGTTCAGAAGGAAAAAAATCACTTCATCCTTAGGAGTCTGTTTTGGAGCCTGACTGGAGCATGTGAAGGGGCTGATACAGTGCAATAGAATCTGAGTGTTTGTAGCACAGAGTGATTTGAAAATAAAACTCTTTGTGAGTGTAGGAGAGAATGCTTATTATGTGCTTCCATAATCACATATTTCATCCAAAATTAGAATCTGTTGAGTAAATCCCCAAACAATTTATGACTTCTCTAAAGCAATTCCCCAATTGTTCTTCAGGCAACTCAAAGGCCATGGAGCACAGAAACTGCTGCAGGCTGCAGAATGTTTTCATCTGTCTTGTTGGTGACTTTCACTCTGCTTTTCCAATATCATAAATACAGCTAATAGATAAAGATTAAGACTATTTTATTTAGGAGCTTTTCTCAGTCATAAATCTATGGGGGAATAAGTTTTCATTGAAACAAAAATCTATCTTTTTTGGGGGGAAGACCAAGTTTGTCCTAAAACCTCCTAAAAAGAGCAGCTGTAGTTTTCATAGTAACTTTACTAAAACTGGTTTGATTTTAGGGGAAAGGATTTCTAGTCAGCTCTAATGACAGGGAGAATTACCTGTCATCATTCAATTTGGCTGAACAAGGACTCCTCACTTTATTCTATAAATGCAGAAAATACTTGTAAAAACCTAGATTTATAACATCTAATAGCATCATCCACTAACTCTACACCAGGGAAGCTGTAGGAACAACAAAGGCAAGAAGTGCAAGAGAGGGCCTGTTGAGATTAGCAGTAAAGACTCAGAGTAATTGGACATGCCATCACACTGAAAACAAAGGAAATGGGCATTAATTCCTCAGGGAATTTCTGTCTGCCCTTCTGTCATTGCTTGTATTGAGCTCAGAACAAAGTTTTAGGTAAGTTCTTTGGAGACTTTCTTTATCATGAGCTTAAAACCATTAAACAGTCTTTAAAAAAAGAAATCAGTACCACTTCATGCAGTATGTGGAAAGAGTACAGACAAGAATGTCATGCTGCTTCCAAGGCAGTCAATTAAACTGTAACATGCATGTGCAGGCCAAGTTTCTTCCATCAGAAGGAGCAGTCTCCAGGAGACTATTTAGTTACATGAATCACTATTTATCTGCAGCCTCTGACAAGATAGAGCCAAATCGATTTCTCCCAGAGAAGACAGACTCAGGCTAAGTTATATCCCTGGTTTTCACTTCAAAAAGACATCATCAGTTTATGAAACGTGAAAAAAATGTAGCCTGTTGCAGTGTCACGGTTCCCCATAAATGTTCTAAAAACCAGAAGGGCTGTTGCTACAGCAGGAACATGAGCTTTGAATTGGTTGCTAATGAGCAGTGCTTGGAAAACATACTGAGAAATAATTGCAGGTTAATAACCAGGTTTCAGAAAATCCAAATGATCCCTTTTTATTCCATGTGTCATAGCAGTCTGAGTCTGGTAGCACAATGCTACCTAATCTTAATTAGGTTCCTTCATCTTCCATTGGCTGGAGTTGATTTGTTCCAGTCAAAACTTGTCCCCTAAAGCTTTTGGTAACTCCCAAATTTACTTATTCTTTAGTTATCACAACCAAACATGCACCTTTTTGGGAAGAATCAAAGGAAAGAAGAACTTTTCATTAAAAAACCACAGTTTGTCTCAGACTGTCATAAAACTCTCTGCATACTCATTCCAGTTTGCCAATTTTTAGTACTGAGTTTGCTCACGTGTAAATGCAGGTAAGTTATCACTATTAACACCCTCTCTTAAACTGACTCTTGAAGAAAACAGTAGAAATATAAACAGTAAATGGAAATTATAAACACTGAGTCTTAAATACGACCATTACTTGTTTATAAGTATGTCCTGTGAAAAGGTATTGACCACACATCAAAGTATCAGCATATACTTGGTTTAAAATATCAGCATATACTTGGAAGGCAAAACAAAAGTGTTTTCTCCCCTACAAATATTTCAAATTCCATTCTTTGTATAAAATATTTTAAGTATTTAGAGAACAGCAAAGAAATAATCTGCCTGTGCATCACAGCAAAGAAAATGCAATTTTCATTCTTCAAAGATGAAAAATTGTGTCCAGAAACACAGATAGGAACCTGCTCATCAGACAAGTGAACTATGTAAGGAATTATTTGAAAATACTTACGTACAGTGACTCCACTTCGCTTTCCCCCTCACCAGGCTACTCTGGTTTTCACTTGTGCTGTTATTCAAGCCTCAGCTGAAACAAACTGTCTTTGACAGGGATGCATTTCATCAGAGCTGCTTTGTCTGCCTGCAATTCCCTGGATGAACACTCTTCCAATAATTTATGTCACTACTGGAGTTCTCTGGCTCCCCGAGCACGGGCAGTGTGGCTGCTCTGTCATCTCCCACTCCCGGAGCTTCTGGAGGGAAGAAACAATAGATGGGCAGCTGACAACAGATAGTACCCAACTGCTCAGGGAAAAGCAACCTGAGAGCACAGAGCAACACTTTAGATGGTAAGGGGACACTACAGTGTGTCATCTGTCCTCCAGTGGCATTTTGAACCCCCAGAAAAACTATAAAATACAGGTAATAGGCCTGTGAGGGCACAACAACACTGGAAAAGGATTTTAAAATAATCGGTGTCATGAATATCATGGTGTCCAAAAGGGAGATGTTCCTTTAAAATGAAATTATGTTTTAATAAGAGGACAAAAATCTCAATTTCTTTTTACCAAGAGAACAGCAAAGGTTTAAATACTCCTGACAGATACAATATTCCCCTCAATAAATTAAATTACACTATTGATGTTAGCACTATCATGCTGACAATGAGAATCAGAAACAGTGTAACTGTCTAAATAATAAGGGAATAACAAGAAATAATTCTAATGTTCTGTTGAAGGACCATCTTTCTAACACAGCTTCCTAAATTTATTCTAGTGTGTGAGATACCTTAATTACAGCAACTTCCATGGCAAAACAAGTGAACAGATGAATTGTGACATGAATTTTCAAGGCAAGCTCTCCATCAAAAAAAGAAGACTTCTCAAGATTCAGTGGTATGAATCAATAATCATTCCCACAAGTCTACTAATTTATTTTGATTCTATATAAAGGAGTTCACAGAAATTTTGTCAGATAGCTAAGGTTAGGTAACTATTCAATTTGGATAGAGAGTTCAGATAAGAATTTATATGTCCATTGGAAAATAATTAACTCACTAACATCTATTAATAACCACAAAAACTGCTGAAAGAGGCAGTTCTGTTACTAATTTTTTAAAATTCAGTAAAACTCATTTTTATAGACAGGACTAAACATTTTTAACACTTACTTTACAGCCTCCTCTGGGATGGTATATTCTGCTGCCAACTCAGCACCACTTCCTGACACTTTAGAGAAAAAAGAAAGAAATGTGAAACACAGTGGCAGAAGAAAAGTTTAAGTGCCTTGATTCATTTTTCCACATTGGGATCTGAGATAACACAACTTTTATAAGAGGGCAATACCTTTTTGAATTGAAATCAACAATTTGATTTCTGCCCCCCACTCTCCTTGCAGAATCAGTATCAGAATCTCGACATTCCAAGTGTTTGTATTATTGGGAAGAAATAATCACTTAAAGATAAAAGCACATAAGGATATAATTCCAACAATGTCATTGAGTTCTCAAGGAAAGATTCTTGTCTAATAGTCCCCCAACACAGGGCTCAGATCCCAGAGGTATTTAGGACACAAAGTGAAGGTATTATGGAGCCAGGCTTGAATCACTTAATGCCATGACCTCATTCACATGGCAGTGTTGGACAGCAAGGAGACAAAATAATCACAGTCACAAGGGTTTAAGATCAACCTTCTGTGGACAAGTCCAGCCAGTGAGGGGCTGTTCTCATCCCCTGGACAGGTAATAAGCTGAAGGAAAAGGGAGGAGAGGGGAATCTGGTGGAAATTTCATTGTACTCACAGTTTGAATGAAAGATCTTCCAGTGCACTCCAAAAAAACCCCTATTTTGCTGTAAATCTTTGTTTCTTTTCCTTCACGCAAAGAACTGGTAGAAGACAAACCATTTCACAACTTAGGTAAAGAAAAGTCTCTCACAACTGAGCTGTTTACAACTATTAACAGATCTTGCCCTGCTGGAGATGCAGCAGGTGCAGCTGGAAGGAGCAGAGGAGCAAAGTATCTCTTCTAAAAGCAAAGAGGAGACTGAGGAGACCCTTTTATAACGGAGAAAGAAGCAAGGTTTTAAGGCTCACACCAAACTGTGCTCAAGGCCCAAAGTAAAGGTCTTGGCCGGCAGAGCTCACAGGAATAATGGCAGAAAGTGCAATAAATGAAGCCTTGAGAGCCCCAGTTGAAGCCTTTTCCATCAACACACTCTCTTTGTCAGAAAATTCCTGAGATTTCCTGTAACCAAGGGCGAGCCATACTGATGTCATTGTATGGGGGGACAGTCAATAAGTATTTTTACACTTAGACAGAATTAAATTATTAATTTAGAAGTTTACAAGGTTCTTGAGACCTTCAGCCAAAGAAGTCGAAAAACATTATATCCTGATTCATTTTAGCAATAGCCCACAGATAAAAGTTTCATGAATGGCAGGTCTAACTTCCAGGAGTGATTCAGTCAGGTCAGGCTTCTAAATCATCTTAGGTGCATCTGAAACTTGTGCTTGAGATGAAGCCAATCTAAGGAAAGAATGTATAACCAAGGTTTTCTTAAACAAGCACCAAGTAATGTAACTAGGCTAGAAAATAACCGAGATGTGAATATTGCTTGTTGAAAAATTAGCAGGGACAGCTATTGCAGGATTTCCTACAACTTTATGCAATTATCAGAAGCAAAGGAATGAGGCTATTTTAAAATCAACTGCTGTTTATAATGTTCCCTTTCAGATTTCCACTTCTAAATCTGAGCCCAAACTGCAGCAGGGACCCTCTGTTGACACGAGAAAATACTTGAGTCAGTGTTTTCCTTCCCAATCTTTCAGCTGACCTAAGCAGCTCCTAACACTTTCCAGGCTCAGATGACTCAGCACTACAGTTAGATAACATTTTTTTCATTCCTTCCTGAAGTTCAAATAACACACAAACAGTCTTTCTCTCCTTTCAAGCTCAGACTTCAGCAGACATCTTTCAGCTCCCTGGTTCTCTGAAGCACCAGCAATTCAGCTTTACTAAGGCTCAGACAAGAATGAGTCAGACATTGACATCCAAAGAAAGCGACGTCCTGCTGTGTCTGTCATGATACAGGAAGACTCTGACAGAGAATTCAGGCTGCCATGCCTTGTTATCCAACTATATTCCTAACCAAAGTTGAGTTTTCCCTTTTCTGATCCCTCCTGGAAGTCTACCAGCTGCAGCAGGCAATCCAGAGCTGCTTCACTGGGTACCAGACCAGACCCATTGATTGTTTCCATTAACCCTGGAAGCACAGTTTCTAGGGGCTCACTCAAAACCTCATTTTCTCAAAACAGAGTTATCAGAATTAGGGAGACACTAAACCTACTGAGATAAAGCCAAAATGGACATTCTCAATTTTCTAAGTTGCCATACATGTCCAAATGAAGGAAAAAGTTCTGCCAGAGTTTTGGCAGGTGTCCAATATTCTGGGCCTGATCAACACCCACAGAGATTCTTTCAGAGATTCAGAAGGGAATTACTGAAATGTATACAAAGCACATTTATATAAACAATTTCAACAGTCCCACATAAACCTAATTTGTGCAAAGGTGAACATCATCCACTGAACACCTGCAGCACCACCTTGTTCAGAAGTGTATTACCAACACTACGAAATCCCAAATCAAGTGGGATATTTTCCCTATCAATAATAGCAATAATGGCTTTTGCTTGGAATATCCAATCTTTCCATTTCATGAGCAGCACCCTTCTACTTCAGAGACAGGGAAACCAAGTCACAAGAAAGGTACTGGCTAAGTAAAGGTACCCAGTACTCAACAGCTAAAGGCTGGATTAGAACCTGAATATTTGAAGTTACCACCCAGATCCTCAGTAACCAGCCTGCCCAGAGAGCTGACAGAGCTCCACAGCCCCTGCCAGTCACAACTCCATCTCCAGTGGAGGAGTTCAAGCCCCAGCAGCCAATAGCTGTGTGTACCTTCTGCAGGCACTTTCTGAGTGCTGGGGCTTCTGCTCAGGGCTGGCTATTTTTGGCTGGTATTCACAGCTCCAATTGAGCAGCCTCTGGCGAGTACACCTAGCAACAGTGGCTCAGAACAAGGCTGACACAGACACACAACACAAACAGGAAGAAATGGAGAGAGAGCCTGGGTGTTATTGATATAAGATTGTATTTTTACTAGGCTAATAAATACAGTGTCTGCTCACTCCTGTAGGTGTGTGGAAATCTCATTTCACAATGTCACATTCCTGAAGAGCACAGTTGGCATAATGCAGATAATGTACTTTAAATACAACACTCATTACCTTCTCATTTTATAAATTAGACTGCAGCAGACTTAAGATAGGGGAAAGGTAATGCAGAAAGCTGCTGTCTTCACTTCTGATGCCAGATTAGCCACCATCACTCCTATCAAGCCAGCCTAATTGCTTTGTTTTTGTGGGCTCTTAGGGAATAACATTATTACAAGTTTGGAAAAAATAACAACATTGACTGTGCTGACTTTTGATCAATCACCACCTAGCCAGGAACGTCAGACCTGTTAAGTATCCCTTCTTTGCCAAAAATTAATGAACCAAAAATAAGTACCAGAGGTTGGAACCAGCTCTGTCTCAGTGCCACAGTCACACTGGAAAATGAGGAAAGGCAAAAAGGAGTGAAAGAAGAAAGCAAAGGTTAGTAATAATTGCAGCATGATTTTTTTTTCTTCATTATTACATATGAGCAACTACTAGAACCCATGGTAGGCAAAGTGAAGACAGGTAATTTTAGATTTTATCAATCAAAGTTTCAAGCAGATTCAAAATAAGGAATGAACAATAAATACTCTTCTTGTCCATCAGTTCGTATACACATGGAGCTGAACAGAAAAACAGTCAGCCAAATGAACCAGCCTTCAATAAAAGAGAGTTCCAACCCCAAAATTATGAAACAGCATGAATTAACTCATAGTTTTCCTTCGAGCCTTTCATTTTGTAGATCCTGGTGAATTTTCATGAGACTGTCCCAAAGTCTTTGATAAACTACTTCATGCTGAAAAAATATTAAATATGCCTTTTTTTTTATATTAAGTTTAAAACAAAAATTCTGACCTCTAAAAATATAACCAAGAATCTTTAAAGTAATCTAAAGAAGCACGGCTTTTTAAATTGTGCAGATTTTATCAAATTTCAATAGGAACATATACTATTTTTCTTTTATTTAGTACTATTGCAGCCTCTTTTCTTTTTTTCCCCCAAGATATTTTGGCAACAATAAGCTTATTTGTTTTCCTTTTATAAAATGCTCAGATTCTCTCAAGACAATTAAAAGGAACCATGCTGTTTGAAGTAACACTGCCATTATCCTGCCAATGAGCCCTTGTAATCCTGAGGTTATGGTAGGAGCAAAAGAATTTTAGTACAAGCAATGACAGCCAGTCCCACAACTTTTGAATGTGCCATGTCAGAAGAAAATTGCAAGAGGAAATTGCATCCACTAGGATTATATTCTTGAATCATTTGAAGGTTAATACTTTCAAAATAAATCAAAGGTCAAAAACAGGTTTGCATTTCTCAGGTAAAAGGCTCAGACCATGATCTCAGACAAAATGACTTAAGGTTCAATCAAAGGCTCAAAACATAAATTTACAAAAGAAAAAAAATCATTTTGACTTATCTAACTTTTTTTTAGGAAGAAATTAAATCTGAAAAATATCAGAATGCCAATTTTGCACCCACTTGCCACATGAAGTGTCTTGCCTGTTTCTGTTTGAAAGCACCATTAGATTTCCACATTTCTTTATAAATCTAAAACTTAGCAAATCTCAAAATATATTCTCATGTGTTCTCTTTCAGTATTGAAATCAGGGGAGGGATTGGCTGGGCACTGTCTTGAACCACAACTAGTTCTTTCACAAACTGTGTGAAACAATACTTACATTATTATATTACTATAATATTAATAGTTCTATTTTTATGTGATTATGTTGTGTATAAGCATAAAAAGGCAGTGCTACATGTATTCCAAGCCTCTGAGCAGTCACATCCCAGCTGCAGTGTGAGCTGAGGCTCCAGGATCCAAGGTGCCGAAGAGCCACCACATCCCAGGCCATGGGACCAGAGCATTAAACTGGAAACACCACTTCAACTGTAAAACATTTGCCTCTCCCCCATGTCACGTTATATAGTTGTTTCAGAGAGGTATTAAAGTAAATATTTACATAATCAAAGTGTCCACCTGCGCAAACGTTCTCCCGTGTGGGGTTGTCT